AGTCCTAGATACTCGAGCGACGACGACCCGATGACGCGAAGTTGGACGACAAGCCGTCGGCCGACGATGTGGAAGAAGAAGATGATGAAGAAGATGAAGAGAAGGAGGGCGAGGAAGACAGGAGGGCCTGGTAGCAGAGGGAGGAGAGGCGTAGGAGCTGGTCGTTGTTCTGCCAGACCTCCGGCGTGAGGTTCTGCACGTTGTTGCCGAGCTTGAATATGGCCTCGTAGCTGCGCGCCATCTTGTACTTCTCGAACGCCTTGGCCAAGTACGCGTACGTGTCGTGCCCTACATGCAAACAAAGGTCAATGAAGAGTGTGCGGTGTGTGCGGTGTGTGCTCAAACTTACCGATGGAATTGTTGGCCTTTTGACAGAGGACGTCGGCGTAGTTGTTGAGGGTGTCGCGGTTGTCGGGCGTTGACCGAATCGAGGCCTCGAACTTGGACATGACCAGCCGGAAGAGCCGATCCTCGGTCTCCCTCGTGTCGCTCTTCTTGGCCTGAATCCACAGCGAGTTGCCCTCGGCCAGCGAAACGATGTTCATGTGCTTCGCCTGTTGCACACCACCAGCCCAGCGCCACGACACGACACGACACGACCAACGACACGAGCGTCAACAAGGCCCTTCGCAGGGTGAGGAAGATGCGAGTACGGCGTACCTTGGCGGACATCTTGACGATGTCAGGCACGACGAGCTTGAAGCCGCGCGAGTTGATCTTGAGCTCGCGCTTGGATTGCTTGGAGAACGTGACGCCCGTGAGCTGCTCGATGCGCTTAAACAGTTTGTACATGTCCACAGTCCGCAACAAGTACAGTTCGTCCTTTTCCTCCTCCTGTGCGTTGTGTGCGTTGTTTGTGTTTGTGTGTCGTGTGTGTCGTGTGTCGTGTCGTGTGTGTCGTGTGTGCCGTGTGTGGTCAGCTGAGGTATCAAAGGGTCACGCGAGGTTGAGGTTAGCACGTTGGCGTACCTCGAGCTCATCCGATGAGGATCCCTTGTTGGAGTCCTCGTCGTCGTCGTCGTCGTAGGGGTCGGCGTGGGTGTTGCCGCGCCCCTTCCCCTTGCTGCTGCTGTCGGTGTCCTCCCTGAGCTGTCGCAGGGTGTCGTTCTCCAGCACAAAATCGAACTGAGTGCGCAGGCCCTCCTTCATCTCCTTCTGCCAGAAGCACACTACCGCCTGCATGTTTCAAATACCACGGCGGATTAGCGCACGACACGCATGACACGCACGACACGCACACAAAAGGCGGAGGCTCGGGTTGCAGTGCAGTGCAGTGCAGTGCAGTGTACCATCAATTGGTCCTGGCCCAGCAGGAGGTTGAGGAATTCGAGGACGCACTTGCGGTAGACGTTCTGCGTGAGCTCGGAGGTCGAGTTTACGTCGCGCAACCGGGCGCGCAGCTTGTTCTTCACGACGCGGCCAAGCATCTCGTGGATGATGATCTTCTTCACCTTCTTGCACTTCACAACGTTGCACACCCGGCCCAGATATCTACAATTGATGCCTGCGCGGAGAACCGTGCTTAGTGTGTCGTGTGTGTCGTGCGTGTGTAACACAATGATGGTGAGCCGCGTACCCTCCATGTGGAGGAGCTCGGTGAGTTGTGCCTCGATGTCGATCTTGCCAGCGTGGCTGCCCAGCAGGACATCTGGCGAGGATTCGTTGAGGACGTGCTGCTCGTCGAGCCACCGCGCAAACGCCGGGATGGTGGTCTCCAGCAGATAGCGCGTTGCCTCCCGCACCTCGGCATTATGCCCCTCCTGCGTTGCGTTGCGTTGCGTTGCACATGTCAGCCGAATGGCATTCACCAGAGAAACCGCGCCGCCTTACCTTTTCGTTCTCGGGTCCACCGAAGGGCGAGAAGGCGTCCGAGGAGAGGGGCGTGCTGTAGGTCTTGATGAACTCGGGGCGGAAGAGACGGTACAGGAACGTCTTCAGCACATCTGCTTCCGCTGTCGGCGGAAACACTAAAGACACAACCGACCAGTGATTAGCGAGCGCACGACACGACACACACGACACACACGACACACGACACACACGACCAACACAACACTCACCTCGGGCAAAGTCGAGCACATAGTATCGGTTGTCCTGCCAGCTTCGATGCCCCTCGATGTCGGCGGGGCCGTAGAGGAATTGGCGGGACTTGGCCCGGTTCACGCCGGCCATGTGGCCCTTGAGATTGAGCCTGGCCGCCGCCTGCCGCATCCGCGCATTCATCCGCTCATCCGACGCGAACACTGCGTTGCACACACACACACACCCGGGTGCGAGCCCGAGAGTCAACAGACAAACCGACACAAGGCCTTCTTGTGTGTGGGGAGGGGGAAGAACGAAAAACGAACCATTTTTGCCGCCATCGCAGGAGCCGTAGCACAAGGTGGTGGTGTTGATTGGGAGAATCGACACGCACACCAGACGATAGCCCCGGTAATCAATCTATAGCCAAGAAGAAGCCAAGGATCGATCCATCAGTTGACTGGCTTGTTCTAGGGAAAAGGGGGCCATTTGAGTACCAGCGCCATGAGAGGCACGGACAGGCCTTCGCACAGGTAGTATCGCATGGCGCCCTTGAGTTCGAGCCCGGCTGCCTTCCTAAAGCAGTATTGGAAGTCAGACGTGATTGGTGGACTGTAAGACTGGGCTGCACAACGCCAAGCACTGGGCAACTGAGCGAAAGCGCGTACATGGCGTATTCGTCGCTGCCATAGAGCCGGAGCCAGTCCGTGGCAAACTTGAACAGGATGCCGTGGTAGATGTACTTCTGCCCGCCGGCATGTCCCCCAACTTCCACCGCCCCTGTGGATTGGTGGCCAAAGGTCAGACCTCGCAAGCGCAAACAAACAACAAACACCAATAATAAAATAACAAATAACAATGAAGGTTAAAAAAATTGCTATCTCGTACGGATGGTCTTGAATTCGTTGGGCAGGTTCTTCTCGCTGATGATGATCTTGCCGCACGTTTTGGCCGTATGCTGGAAGTCGGCCGCCAGCGCACTGAGTCTCTCGAATTTCTCGAGCTGCGGCACCAACGAAGAAAACGTAAGTACAAGCTGTATGGGGGCGAGGCCCGCCAAGGCGCTGGGGCGAGAGAGAGAGAGAGATAGATGCAGAACGCACCTGCTGCTGTTCGTCGTCCTGCGGGAGCTCGAGAATCTTTTGGAATTCGGCGTTCCAGGCCATGGGATACCCGCAGCGGCCGCTTTCAGTCGACGCACCCACGCTTCCGCCCACCACCGACGCCGCGGCCGCGGCCGCCGTCGCTCCTCCCGTCTGCCTGCGGCTGTCGAGGCTCACCCCGCGCGCTCTCGCAGACGATGACGACGACGAACCCGACGACGGCGCTCGTCTTCGGCGTTCCGGCGGCTGCTGCTCTCTCCTCGTCTTCTTGTCGCGGGCATTGTCGTAGTTAGGGTCGTCTTCCCGCTCGTCCTGCGAGTGCGAGGGCTGGGTCGAGGAGGAGCTGTGCTCGTCTTCGTTGGCCCGATCCAGGTAGCTGTCGTCGTCCTGCTTCCTGGGCTTTCTGTTCCTCTCTGTGGGATGTGTACGAACGTGCAAACAACACGACAGTGCGCGCGTGTCGCGTGAGTGTGGGCTAGGAATGTGGTGTGTGTGTGTGTAGTGTATCGAGGAATGTGTCGACAGCGTACTCTTCTTGCGAGGTGGCCGTGCGGACAGCGGTTCGGTGTTGGAGGAATAGATCGTGTTACCGGTCTCCTGCTCGCGCAAGTCCACGTCAGAATAGACGGGCCTGCGCGCCGGTACTGGCCGCCCGCCGCCGGGGGTAGCGTCGCGTCCGTAGCCTCGGTCACCATCGTCACCACCAGCTTGGCCGTCGCGGTTAGTCGGCACAAGGCTGCAAAGAAACCGAGAGCGATCAGCCAATCGGATTATTGAGATATGGGATCAAGCAGAGCATACTTGAGGGCGCTGTCGCACGCAAAGTAGGCGTCCTGTTGGTCGGCGTAGTACGAGCCGATGAAGCCGCTGCGGGCACTGGCGCTGGCACTGGCACTCACGTGAGGCGCGGTGATGGTGGTATTGCGCAAATTGGGCAGCACACCGTCGATCTCGAGATAGGGAGAGTTCTGTGAGGTGGATTGATGTCAGCTGTGTGTCAGCGGTGCACCGATGGTTGGCCCAGTTTAGGCAACAAGGCTAAGTACCTCTTCCTCACTCTGCGCGACTGCTGGCGGCTGCGGACCGCCGTACCCGTTCCCTGCATCCTGCTGCTTGAACGCTCCTGAAGTCGCGTGGTGCGCAGCACATCAGTTTTGCCTAGGGCTCATGCGAAGGCGACAGCTCGGCGTACCGGAAGGAATCGACGCCATGTAGTAGGCGTAGGGTGAGAACTGGTCTTCCCTCGCTCGCGACAAAATGAGCGCCACCTTCTCGTCATCCTGCTCTACTAGTTCTTGCTCCTGCTCTTGCTCGTCCTCCTGTTCCTCCTCCTCTTCTTTTTCGTTTTCGTTTGTTTTGTTGTCGTAGCCGTTGAAGCCGGCAGCCTGTCGAAGATCATCATAAGCGCCATCTTCGCCGACGCTCTTCCTCCTGCGTTGGGCCTTGTCCTTCCCTTTCTCCTTCTTCGGCGTCGCCGCCGCCACTGACGAGGCACGGCCGTTCGAGGCTAGCTCTCTGCCGCCTTCGTCCTCGCCGTCGCCCTCGCTCGCATCTCTCCGCTTCCCGCCGCCTTTGGGTCCTCCCCTTCGTCGTCTTCGCTCCTTTGTCGTTTCGCTTCGCTCTTCGGCGGGCTGGGTGTGTCCATTCGTCGTCGTGCTGTTGGCGTACGGCGCCGACGTTGTCGTCGAAGGCGACGCCAGCGTGGGTGCTGGAGGAAGCGCGTTGCTGTAGGTCGACGACGACACGGAGGCGGAAGCGACCGCGGCGTAGGTGAGCACGGGCGCTGGCGTGGGCGACGACGACGGGGTGGTGGAGGTCGAGTTGGACGAGTTGGCCGCCGCGGCCGCCTTCCGCCGGTGTCGTCGCTTAGATGAGTTCGCCCTCGTCACACCGCCGCGGCCATCAGACGCATCGCTGTCTTCGCTGTCGCCGGTGGTGCCTCGTGTGGCCTTCTTCATTCGCTCCTCTTCGTCTGCTGGTAAAGGAGAAGTGGGAGTAGAGGAGGAAGTGGAAGCGTTGGTCAGCGGCAGTGAAGCTGCAGCGGGTGTGGCCGGCTCCGCTGGGTCCACTTCAACCAGCTCATGCTCGCTCTTGACAAGCACTACGGGGATGGTAGGTGCGTCATCTTCATTCCTCACGTAGAGGTCCGATTGTTGTCGCCTTCCATTCGCTCCATTTCGAACGATGAGGCCATCTTTTTCGCCTCCTCGGGCGATTTCCACCTCCACGCCCTCCAAGGCCGCTGCCTCCTCTCGACGCGCGAGGATGCGAAATGTAACGAAAATCAAGAGCTGGAGATGCACGAAGAGGATCACCACGACCACCAGCAGCATCTTGCTTGCCTCTTTCTCGCGAATGCTCGCTACTCGCCCAGCAAATTCGAGTAAAACGCGAAATTCTTGCTTCTTCTCAACTGAGCAGAGATGAAAGTGTACCTCACGTCGTGGACCTGGGCAAGTAGGGCGTGTTGCAGGACCAGTCGAGACCAACCACGAGGCCGCTATGCCATTAATCAAAAAAAATAGATGAATCAATCACAGGCCTCCGGCACTATTGTGGTTCCTCCCAAAAAAATTGACAGAAAGGGAATACATTTGGAGAAACACGCCAAGCCCAACCGAGTTTGTCTACGCCGGCATGCTGAGACAGTATGGTCGAACGGAGCGCAACCAGGCAGAGCCTGTACATGCAACCGACCATCAACTGTCGGGGCAGGGCGCTATCTTTCCCTTCCAGCTTGTAGCGGAGTTGTTGATTCAGCCAGATGATGAACGCAGCTGCGTGAAACCAGCCCCACGTGAGACCCAAACCTCAAATTACAACGCGTCGACAGCGCCACTGGCCACAGACCACAAATTTTGCCGCCATGGACGAGCCACAGGGCGGAGGGGACCACAGCAGACGGGTGTCGGGTCCGCGCACGCCACCGGCGCGGGGAAGGAAGCTGACGGTGATGACGGTGACGGCCACGGCCACGATGATGAGTCGCGATGCGACGCGTCAGGTGTGGTCGCTGGAGGGCGAGACACCCATTACGCTGCTGGCCGAACTGCCAGAGGAGGTCCTGCTGGCCGTACTCGCGTTGCTCGATGGGCGGGACCTCACCTCTGTCACCGCCGTCAGCTCTTCCTTTCGGCGCCTCGCCCTCGAAGACTCGTACCCCCCCTCCCTCTTCGTCTTCGTTCTTTCTTCCCCGCAACCGGTCAATATTTCAATTAGTCCTAAATTATTTATCAAACCATTGCCCTACATTAATATTACTGCTGTTATTTCGTGTGATAATAATAACATAATAATAATAATAATTATTATTATTATTATTATTAAGATGCGAACGTGTTGGCACCCGTGCGTGAAGACTGACAAGCCTAAATAAATAAATAAATAAATAATAAAAAACCACATACACTAGGCTGTGGAGGGCCAAGTGTAGGAACCCGCAGCGCAAGCAGATGGGCCACACGTGGCGCGAACACTTCATCGTTGAAAACACTCCCCACCCGCACCGACTCAAACAGATACGGTGCGTTAATGTGGTCGTGTGGCGTGTCGAGACCTGTGTCATTCATGCACAGACCTACCTCGAGCGATGACCTAATGGTGTAAGACGCGTCGCAATTGCAGGGAGATGGCGTGCCAGGTGAGCTTCGTTCCCAAACCACAGACCTACAAGAAGCCGACCACCATCCTCTTCTTCGGCGAAGAGGCCTCCGGGCGGGTATGCACCTTCGCCTCTCACGCGTGTCGTGTGCGTGTCGTGCCGCTATGGTCTTGATGTGCTGGCCTGATTCACCAACTCCCACCTCTGGTGCGCCACAGCGGTCGCTGATCGACAGGCTACTGTACGACACGTTTGAGGAGGAACTCATCATCCAACCGGGCCGATACTTTCCGCCCGACGTGCGCCTATCTCTCACCGCCTTTCTCTGCGCTCATGGCTCGGTGCTTGTCTCTTGACTGCTGGCTCGAACCTCACCTCCCTTTCCGAATGCGCGCAATCTTGCAGATCAAGTGCTGCCTCGTGAACGAGACCGCGTTGATCCCCGTGCGATTCGTACGGCCTCCCATGAGTCATTGCTTGTGCTGTGCTCGTAGCTTTTTCACACAACTCACCTGCGCGCGCATGACACGCACGAACATGACAGACACGACACGGGCACGAATCGTTCCCGGGACAATACAACCTGTGGCGAGGCGCCGATGCGGCCGTCCTCGTGTGCGATCTGACCAACGAAAAGTCCATACAAAACCTCCTCCTCTGGCTCGGGGTACCCCTCCTCTCGCCCTTGGGCGTTGTATGCGCGCATCCCCCCGTGTGTGTCGTGCGTGTGGTTGGTTGTGTTGCTGACGAACCTGGTCGCGTTTCGCAGGAAGCGGAGCGGTACTTCACCAAGCCGCGAATATTCGTGGTGGGCAACAAGTCCGACGTGCACAGCGACATGCACATACAGTCCTCGGCCGAGATCGTCGTACGTGCATTGCATTCCTCTCTCTCTCTCTCTCTCTCTCTCTCTCTCTCGGCATGTGCGACGCTATGAATCACTCACCACACACTTGTTCGTTTTCTTGTGGGCTGTGAAGGCTCTGCTGGATGACTGGCGGTGGCAGCACTCGGGCGTCTTCCTGGGCGAATACATCGAGGTGAGCGCCAAGACCGGGCGCAACGTGGACCTGGCCCTCAAGTACGTGGTGGCCGCCCTGGCCCACGTCAACGCCACCGAAGCCTCTTCGCTCCAGCACACGTCGTACTCGGACTTCGAGCGGCTGCACTCGTCGGCCGGCCCCGTCATGCAGAAGGCCAAAAAGCGAAGCTCCTGTCTCGTTTCCTGATTGCCCTATCTAACTCCTACTACACTACACATCAATGTCTGACCTTCCACGCCCTTGGCACCGCCATGTTGCGGTTAGCGGTTCCAGGCGAGCCACTACACGAAAACACCGCACGAAAAGGTCACCCGGATACCGCTTTCAAAGATCGCTCCGGATTGGTTGCTTTTCTTTACGATGGCCCAACGGGAAGCGCGTGTCCAGAGGTTACCAGGACGCACAAAACATGCCGAACACCGTGCCGTGTTCAAAAACAGAAACGAACACACTAGCGCCAAGAGAAGAACAAGGATCCCCTCTCTTCGCTTCGATCTTCGCTCTTCGTTCTTTCCACCGACGCTCGGAGCTAAAAAAGAGGGAAGTCAGAACAGCTTCCCCCTCCCTTTGCAGCGTCATGAGTCTCATCACGAAGAAGAAGACCAAGGCCATCCGACGTTCCACCTCCGCACCCCATCAACAAACGACCGACATGTCACTGCTCGCACCCAGCGGCTCGGCCGCCGGATCGTCGTCGCCTCTGGTGCCCCGCAGCCCCAGTGGCTCCTCCGGAGACGAGGCCGAGGCCCAGCAGCCGCCCTCCCAGTTCTTCCGCTCGCTGAAGCTGGGCAAGGGCAAGTCGCAGACATGGAGCCCCGAAGACCCACCGCGCCAGCGCCACCACTCGCCGGCGGGCGGCGGGTTCCCTTCGACTTCTTCTTCGTCGTCGGGCGAGGTCAAGACCAGCTCGCCGTCGCGGGCGCGCCGGGCCTCCAAGATGTTCCGAAAGCTCGGAGGCAGCCGCATCGTGGCGCCCTCCAACCACCACCATCAACACGAGGTCGCCTCGGCGTCGCCTAGCGCCGTCACACCTCCGCTCTGGCTTCCTCTTGTCGACTTCCTCTGCCGTGCCGTCGAACAACACGGTAAATTAGGCTTATTTTTATTTTTGGATTTTCTTTTTTTCAGTTATTCGAACTATGGTGCAGTTTCTTTCTTTCTTTTGTTTCTCTTTTGTTTTAATTAATTTGGTGGTCGCAAAACAGGCGTGGACAAAATGGGCATTTTCAGGCTGAGCGCGAATGCCCGCACGGTGCGCGAGCTGCTGCAGGCCTGCGTGGGCCTCTACGAGAAGCGGGCGGGCGAGGAGGCCATGGCACGGCTCTTCGCGCCCTACGAGGGCGAGGTGGACGTGGCCGCGAGCGTGCTCAAGGCCTACCTGCGCGAGCAGACCCAGCCGCTCATCCCCACCACACACCACGACCGCTTCGTATCGGTGGTCCGGCGTCGACCGGCTTGACGACCGGCTCGAGCAGCTGGCCCAGCACGCCTACGAGCTGCCCGACGAGCTGAAGAGCATTCTGGAGCGGCTCACCCGATCGCTGCACATGATCCAGGCCAATCAGGAGGTGAATCGGATGGACGCGTCGAACCTGGCCATCGGTGCGTGCCGCACTCATATGTCTGGGTGTGCGTGTGCGTGTGCGTGTGCGGTGGTGCTTGTGCGGTGACTTACGTGTGTTGGTGCGCGTGTCGTGTGCAGTGTTTGCTCCGTCCCTCCTGCGAGCAGAGACGGAAGGCCTGGACATAGTCAAGATCCGGTCACAATGTCAAGTGATCGAAACATTCATTTTCCACCACAACCGCATCTTTACGCCAGAGGTGCGTTCCCGCTGAAGCACACGCACCACCGCACACGCACGCACTCGCCACCGCACAGACTGAAGATTTTTCATTCGGCAAATGACAACAGAGGGAAGAGAAGGCCCGCGAGCTTCGACTCAAAGACGTCGTGGCGGCCATCCACGAAGTGCATACAAACGATGAATGGAGGGAGGAGTGCGACGAGAGGGCCGAAGAAGCCGCATTCGCGCGGGTCGTGTCGAAGCTCACGCAGGAAGCGGCCGACGAGGAGCACGAGGCCATGAAGGAGCATCGATGGAAGAAGGAGCATCTCGGCCCGTTCTCCTCGCTGTCCTGTCAATTCTGCCACAAGGCCATCTTCGGCATCCGGCACAAGGCGTACCTCTGCCAAGGTACAGCTGCGCCCAACACTCACACGCGCCGCACCGCACCGCACGCACACACGACCGCACACGCACGCACGAACCTCGCTGACCCGTCTGGCGACACATTGCAGACTGCGCGTGTGCGGCGCACAGCAAGTGCCGAAGGAGGGCGGGCAACACGTGTAGCGGCGCGTTGGGCGTGGAGCGACCAAGCGGGACCTCGCAACCGGCCGTGGTGATCGTCGAGGGGTCGTGGAGCCGTCCGGTCGGCAAGTGAGCGCCCGCGGGATGGTGTCTCAAGCCCACAATTTTGCCTGCGAACGTAGAGACGTTCCCAAACACTCCGACATGTACAGCACCCTATGTCACATCTGTGGTGAACACTCGACCCTAAGATAAGATTTACTTTTTACCCCGCCATCATGTTGACTGAACCTGTCCGATGTAGCTACCTTTTCTTATCCTTAGCAACGAACGGAAGGTGCTCTAGGCAGCACCACGCCAAAAGCCTCAACGAAGCGTACTCGCCCGCCAATCCCGGCTGTTGCCCATTTGCCAGGCACTGCTGCCATTGGTCAGTCGCGACGAGTGCCCGTTCCTCTTGCGTGTTTGGCAGACCTTGAGGCTTCATTCTTCTGCTTTCTCGTGCGTTGCCACCTAGACCGACTGGCCATCACTGCTCTCGCAACAACCAATTGAGCAACTACCAACAACAGCAGAACAGACAACAACAAGAAGGAAGACGAGGAAGAAGATGATGCGGGGGCTCTACTTGGGATTCATTGTGGCGCTCGTGCTCGCACTTGGTGCCCAGGGCCTCACGGTCCAGGGTACGGGCAGCCCGTGGAGTGCGGGCCTCTTCACCCAGTGGGCGGCCGACTACCGGTTTGTCAAGGACAACGTGGCCTTCAGCTTCACCTCATCGGCCTCGACCCAGGCGGGCCTCACCTCTATGGGCCGCGGCTTCTCCAGCTTCGTCTCAACCCCCGCCTCGACCACAACCACCACCAACTCCCTCTACTCGGTTCCCCTCTTCGCGTCGGCCATGACCGCCGCCGTCAACGCGTCACTCTTCGCCAACGCGTCTGCGACGGTTGCATCGAACATGGTCGCCTTCGACGAGACCACCTTGGTGGCCCTCTTCACGGGCGACCTGGTCGAGTGGTCCGACCCCCGGCTCGCGGCCCTGAACCCCTACGTCACCCTGCCCCCCGCGGGCACCAACGTCACCCTCGTGCTATGCAACGACACACTGGGCGACGCCAACGTACTCGTGCGGTACTTGGCCGCGGTGAGCCCGGCCCTGGGGGGAGCCCTGGGGGTGGGGGGCGCAGGGCTCACCTCGCTGCCGCCCTTCGCTCAGGGGAGGGTCAAGCTGGCCTGCAGCGCGGCCGACAGGCAGGCCGCCCTGGCCACTACTTCGGGGTCGTGGGCAACCTCGCTGGTCTTCCTGATGCTGCCAGAGCTGGGCTCGAGCGGCCTCGCCCCCCTGGCCTTCATCAACGCCAACCACTCGCGTCTCGTGGCCTCCCCAACTAGCATCACCCAAGCCATGACCAACGCCGCCACCGCTACAACCACTTCATCCTCTTCATCCTCTTCATCTTCATCAGCCGCTACGCGCTCCTTGTCGACAGAATTGATCAACCGCGGCGGCGAGGCGTGGCCCATGGCTACGCTGGTGTCGATCCTCGTGCAGACCGACCTGAGCACGGCCGACTGCTCGCTGGTCAAGGAGCTGCTCACCTTCGTCACCTGGACCCAGATCAACGACGCCGCGGTCTCGACCCTCACCACCGGCCTCGGACCCTACTACGCCGCTCTCAACACGGTGCTACGCAAGTCTATGCTCGACGAGCTGGCCACCATACAGTGCAACGGCGAGCAGGCCCTCACCACGGCCTACCTGGTGGGCGAGGGGCCGCCCATACCGACCTACGAGTCGTGGGCCACGGACTACGAGAGCGCCAGCTTCCGGCTCAAGTACTACTCGTCGGGCACGGTCGGGGCCATCTCGTCGCTGCTAGCCGACGCCATTGACTTTGGCGTATCGGCCTCGCAGCTGACCGCGGCCCAGAAGCTGGTGCTGCCCGACGCCAAGCTCGTGCCTTCGCTCGTGTTCGCCGTCAACTTTGCCTACAACATTCCCGAGCTGGCCGACTCGGACATCCCGCTGCTGATCGACTTCCAGACCGCGGCCGACATTTTCCTCAACAAGATCCAGTCCTGGCGCCACGAAAATATCACCCGGCTCAACCCGGACATCGCCGCGCTGCTGCCCGACGCGCCCATCATCGTGGCCTACAACACGGTGCCGCAGTCGCTCACCTACCTCTACACGCTGCCGCTCAGCGTCCAGGTGCCCGAGTTCAAGGATCGCGTGGGCGCCTCCACCTACGTCGTCTTCCCGGTCGTCACCGAGGACCCGGCCCGCACTGTGCCCTGCGACTCGCTCACCTATCTCATGAGCGCCATGCGGGACACACCCTACGCCTTCTCGGGGTGCGTGTGTGGTCGTTTGTGAGTGTGCGTGCGCGGTCTTGTGTGTGGTGAGCTGACAAGGGTTCGTGGCACGCGCAGAACTGTGTCGTACTTTGCCTTGACGACGCCCAACGTGAAGCAGGCGGCGATGTTCAACCCGGCGGGCAACCGGGTGGAGGCGCTCACGGACAACATCCTCGCTGCGGTGGCCAACGCGCCCAACCCCGACGCCCTGCAGGTCTACTTCTCGCCCGGCAACGACAGCTGGCCCATGGTCACCTACACCGGCTTCATGATCAAGAGCGAGTCCTACGCCGACTGCAACAAGGCCAAGGCCCTGGTACCTACCATCTTTCGATTGGCCGTCACGCTATCTTTAAGGCTCTGTTAAGTGACAACCAACCAATCCAACAACAAATTCACCGTTTTATCACAACCAATCACAGGTGGACTGGATCTACTGGACACAGTCATCGTCGGCGGCATCGACGATCGCGTCGGCCAACAAAGTCGCGGTGGCGAGCCAGTCGGGCCTGCTCCAGTCGCGCATGCTCGACGTGCTCTCGAACGTGACCTGCAACGGCGTTCACGTGAGCTCGCTCTACGGCTGCGTGTCCCAGGGGGCCATCTGCTCCAACCGCGGCGTGTGCACGTCGAACCGGTGCACCTGCGAGTCGGCCTACACAGGCACCTACTGCGAGTCGCTGCGCGCCGACTCGTCCAGCTCGGACTTGCTCGCGCCGGTGCTCGGCAGCGTGCTGCCGGCGGCGTTCCTGCTCATCGTGCTGCTGGTGGCGGCGGTGGTGGCGTTCTTCGTGATTGCGGCCCGACGCCGGCGCGGCCCGGGCGACGACTGGGAGATCGACTTCGAGGAGCTCGAGATGGGCGAGCTCCTGGGCGAGGGCGGCTACGGCCAGGTCCACAAGGCCACCTGGAAGGGTTCCGAGGTAGCCGTCAAGATGATGGCCGCCGAGACAGTCACCAAGGCCATGGTCACCAGCTTCACCGAAGAGGTATTTATTTCTACCTTTATGTCTTTAAACTTGTTATTTATCTCTTCTTCGTTATTTTTATATCATTTATTTCTATTTACCTGTGAAATCTAATCAATTCTGTCTCAGGCCCGTACAATGTCCCACTTGCGCCATCCGAACACGGTGCTGTTCATGGCGGCCTGCACGAAGCCGCCGAGCATGTGCATCGTCATGGAGTTCATGGCGCTGGGCAGCCTGTGGGACCTGATCCACAATGACCTCATCCCCGAGCTGCCGATGGCGCTCAAGGTCAAGATCATGTTCCAGGCGGCCAAGGGCATGCAGTTCCTGCACTCGTCGGGCATCGTGCACCGCGACCTCAAGTCGCTCAACCTCCTGCTCGACGCCAAGTGGAACGTCAAAGTGTCGGACTTTGGGCTCACCCGGTTCAAGAGCTCGCTCAAGTCAAAGTCCATCAATGGCGGCGGCAACGGCGGTCAACACCAGTCTCCCGCGGGCGAACTGGCCGGCAGCGTGCCGTGGATGGCGCCCGAGGTGCTCGAGGAGCAGAACGGCCTCGACTACTCGCTCGCCGACGTGTACAGCTTCGGCGTGATCATGTGGGAGGTGCTCACGCGCGAGCAGCCCTATGCCGGGATGATGCCGGCGCAGATCGCGGTGGCCGTCATCCGGAATGACCTGCGGCCCTCCGGGCACAGCCGGCTGCGGGTCACCGACGAGCAAGCCGACTACGTCGACCTCATGTCCAAGTGCTGGCACCGCGACACTGCCGTACATTCCTGAACCAATTCCTCACCACATTCCTCAACATTCCTGACTGACCCACGCACTCCACTCCGTGTACACAGATGCGACCGGTGTTCATCGATGTCATGAAGCAGCTCCAGGCCATGATCGAGACCATGAGCTCCGGGTCGGGCATCTACACCAGCACGAGTGGCGGAAGCAGCTCGTCAGGCGCCAGCTCGCACAAGCAGCGCCGCTACGCCGGCGAGGGATCCGACGCCCACTCGAGCACGCGCAGCGGCAGCGCAACGGGCTCTCTCTCGTCGGGCGGCCAGCTGGCGGAGGCCAAGCACCACCAGGGCCGCGGCAGCGTTGCCCCACGGAGGGACGTGTGCTTCGTCGTGTGCGACCTCGCGCGATGCAACGAGTCGTGGCAGGCCAACGCCGCCGGCACCGCCAAGGCCATCGCCCGCTACGGCCAGCTCGTGCGCGACCTCAGCGGCAACGGTATCGACAAAACTGATGACCAGGCTGAGAAGGAGAGCGGCCACAAGAGCAGGAAGGTGACGATGATGCCCGTGACGACCGAGGGCTATCTGTTCTCGCGATCGGGCCTGCACAGCGGCGGCACGTTCATGCTGGCCTTTGCCGACGCCGACAAGGCAGCCACCTTCGCGCTCGCCCTCCAGCACGAGGTCGGCGCGCGCTCATGGCCGAGCAACGTGAACGTCCACTCGCGCGTGTCGCTGCACTACGAGGCCGGCGTGAGCGGCGCGCTGAGCGGTGACGCCACGCGCACAGGCTACGACCCCAAGCACTTCCAGGAGGCGTGTCGGCTCAATCTCCGCTGCCGGCCCGGTGACGTCATCTGCTCGGCGGCCTTCCGGTCGCGCCTGTCGACTTCTGCGGAGGCTGCCGCCGACGGCGGATTGGTCCGCTCGCTTCGATGGAAAGCCCGAGGCGACGACTTTTACATGCGACGGGCGGACGATGGCGCTGCTGACGTCGGCAGCAGCGAAGAGAGCGAGCAGGATGACGATCAAGGCGACGACGACGAGGCCGGCTGGGAGGAGAAGTGGGACCAGGGCATGGGCCTGTGCTCGTCCAACTGGTGCCCGTGGATCATCAACCGGGACAAGATCACTATGGGTGCCAAGATCGGTGAGGGCAACTTTGGCCGCGTGGTGGCCGGTACCTACTACGGCTCGCCCGTGGCCGTCAACAGCTCTACAAGTCGCGCCTCGACGACTCGGCCATGATCAAGATGCGCAAGGAGGCCGCCATTCTCTCCAACATGGACCACCCGCACGTGGTCAAGCTCATCGGCCTCTCTGTCGGCGGCAGCGGCAGCGGCGGCGATGGCACGCTGATGCTGGTCATGGAGCAGGTGGCGCGCGGCGACCTCCGCCGGCTGCTGTCTGACGCGTCGGTCAAGCTGACGTGGCAGCGCAAGGTGGCCATGCTGCGCGACGCCGCGCTCGGGCTGGCGTTCCTGCACTCGCAGGGCATCATCCACCGCGACATCAAGTCGTCCAACCTGCTGGTCGAGAAGAGCCTCGCGGTCAAGGTCGGCGACTTCGGATTCGCCACGGCCAAGCAGGACAACGGCACCCAGACCCGCTGCGGCACGCCCTCGTGGACCGGTACACATTCCTCGCATTCCTTCAAGACTACGCACGACACATGGCACATCACCGCACACGCACACGCACACACGCATACACCCACACGCACGCACGCACGACGCAACGCATATGTGCTGACATGTTGTTGTGTATGCAGCGCCGGAGATCATCAGCGGCATGGCCAAGTACACGGAGAAGGCGGACGTGTACAGCTTCGGTATCGTGATGTGGGAGGTGCTGACGCGCAAGGTGCCCTACCAGGACAAGAACATGATGACCGTCGCGCTCGACGTCATCAACGGCCAGCGCCCCGCCGTGCCGGCCGACTGCCCGCGCGCCTTCGCCGAGGTCATGCAGCGGTGCTGGACCGCCAAGCCCGAGAAGCGGGCCTCCATGGACGACATCCTGCTCTACCTCAACTCTGAAGCCGAAGCCTCCCCCGTCTGATCGCATCGTCTGGTCTCTGTACAAAAAAATGCAATTTCCTTCTCATTTCCTGTAATAATAAGAATTTCCTTTGTCATTTCATTTCGCACTCGTCGCTTTCTCCCACGCTCTCCCACGAAAGCGCTGACGAAGGTGCCTTCCGAACCTTACCCGTCGGCGTGAACCAACAATTATTTTTTTCTTTGTGCTGCACCCCCTTTCGCACACTCATCTGCAACGCTTTGGCCAATTTTTGATTTTATATAAACAATCATCTGTAAGAGTGGGAGATGATCATCCTGCGCGCTACTTCTTCTTGTCTGACCACGCTCGGAGGGGCCGTGCTTGCCGTGGTGTTGGCCTACTGTCTCGCCAGTGTGTTCAACCCCGACATGCAAGCCCACGCCGAACCGCACCCCTTCACCATCCGCGACCTCACCGCGGTCCAGCGCGTTGGCGACCTCTCCGTCTCGCCCAACGGACTGCTCGCCGCCTTCACCGTCCGTAAGTGGGTACGTGTGGGGCCGCACACGCACACCGCACACGACACGCACACGTCGGAGCTTTTGCCTGATATCTGCTTCCTCGTGCCCACACGCCTATGTAAAAGAATGGCACGAGCACGACGACGAGCCTGCACATGCTCGACATTGCGCAGGGCCATGTGCGGCGCGTGACCACGAAGGAGGGCGTCAGCGACAACAGCCCGTGCTGGAGCCCCGACAGCGCCCACCTCGTCTTCCTCTCCTCCCGCTCCGGCTCCTCTCAGGTGAGTGGCCCACCCTGCGCGGACCATTCTCTCGCTTTTTTCTTCTTCTTCTTTTCTTCTCAAGGAGACGATCGCGACTCACGTACTTGTACGGTGCTTAGGTGTGGGGCGTGAAGGCCACTGGCGGCGAGGATGCCGTCTATCAGCTGACCGACCTGCCGCTGGACGTGGAGAGCCTGCGCTGGTCGCCCACAGGTCAGTCACTCACTCACTCACTCGTGTTGATGAGGATGGTGGTTGTGGCGTGCCGTGAGTGTGGCATGTGTGCAATGTGGCCAGTCGTCTCAATGTTTGCGTTCTGCGTGCGCGGCAGGCGAGTACCTGTCGTTCTCTGCGAGCGTGTACCTGGACTGTCCCGCCGAGCAGATGTTCCAGTGCACCGCCGACAAGAACAAGGAAGTCGAAGCCCGCGGTTCGCTCCCCTCTCTTTCCCTATCTCTGTCGCTTTTTCAATGGTGAGACCTCGCTCGAACACGGTTGAGTTGACACATGGCTTGTGTCGCGCACCGGCTGTCTTTTCGGGGGTGGACCAGGTCCCAACACCGGATTCGTGTACACGAGCCTCTACGTGAGGCGCTGGGACGCCTACGTGACCGAGGGAAAGCACAACAGCCTCTTTGTCCTGCGCCTCGCCAAGACCGTCGACGGTACGACCGACTCGCGCTTTGCTTTTTATATATTAATTTATTCATACATTTTTAATATTTAAATGAGCTGAACGAACGGTGCGGCAGGCTCTGGATTCAAGGCCCTGTACCCGGCGCTTCCCATCTCGTACGGCCTCAAGGCGGCCGCTCCCGTGCCTCCCTTCGGCGGGGCCGAGCAATACGGTAACGACTGCTGCGCAGGACTCTTGCCCTCCTCATTTTGACTGCTGCCTGGACCCACCGCTTCGCTGACTCTGAGCGCATTCGTTCTCTCATCAGCGTGGTCGCCCGACGGCAAGGAGATCGCCTTCACTGCGGAGATGATCAACCACGAGACGGCGTGGAGCACCGGCTGGCGCATCTTCACCGTGGCCATCGGCCAGCACGGTCCCGAGACCGGTAGCCTCCGGTACGTGCGCAGACCCCCAACACTGCTGTTCAACACGCTTTGATAAAACTAACCAATCACCTATCAAAATCTATCTCCCAATCAACATTCCAGCAACATTGTGGACAATGTCACCAAGGCGCGCACCCAGAACCCGACCTACTCGCCCGACGGCAAGTACCTGGCCTACCAGTACGTGCCCGACCCAGCATCATCATCACCACCATTATTGTTTTCTTCATCATCATCATCGTCGACATCCAGGCACTCAATTGAATGCTGTTTTCGGTCTACAGGGCGATGGACCGTCCCGGGTTTGAGGCCGACCGTCTGCACGTCAACCTTTACAATCGCCTCCAGAAGACCACCGCTCCCCTCACCGCCCACGTACCTGCTCACCCTCATTTTATTTTATTATTATTGTTTAAGTATTTATTATTATTTCTATTTAGTGGGATCGATCGGTGGACGGCGTGCTGTGGTCGCTCGACAGCCAGTTCCTCGTCGCCGACGCCTCCGACAACGCCAACCACAAGCTGTGGACCATCAGGTACCTCTTCGGTCACACGACACGACAACTGTTGGCTGACCACAGGCCATTCACATTCCACTCATTCTACAGTGTGCCGTCGGGCAAGGTCGAAGAGCTGGTGGGCGCCAAGCACAACGCGAACCCGCAGTGGGCCAGCCCCGACCTGCTGCTCTTCTCCCGGGATTCGCTGATGTCGCCGGCTGATCTGTGGTCGCTCCGGATGGACACCCGGCAGGTGTCGCGGCTCACCGACATCAACGCCGACATGCGGCGCGAGACCATCATGTCGACCCCCGTCTCGTTCAACTTCGAGGGCGCCGGCGACTCAGTGCAGGCGTGGCTCTTCAAGCCTGTCAACTTCGAGGCCGGCAAGAAGTACCCGCTGGCTGTGCTCATCCATGGCGGGTACGTATTCTCCCCCCCCCAATGAATTACACAAACCTCGAATAATGGTTCCTAACGACTGTCGTGTCGTGCGTGTGGTGCGTGTCGTGTGTGTCGTGTGTGTCGTGCGTGTCATACAGTCCGCAGGGCGCCTGGGAGGACGCCTGGTCGTACCGCTGGAATCCCCAAAACTTGGCCGGACACGGTATGCACAGTGCTCCCTCCGGTCGGTCAGTCGGTCGGTGTTGGTTGACGGCCATGTGTTTGTTTTATCTGAACCCAAGGCTACGGCGTGGTCGCGATCAACCCGCATGGCTCGACCGGCTGGGGCCAGAACTTCACCGACGCCGTGTCCGGTGGTACGTCACAAGACGACACCAGACACACACACTTGTTCCCTTGGCACACGATCTTGAGTCTCGTTCTCTCCTTCCGCAATTGGGGCAGATTGGGGCGGTCGTCCGTTTGAAGACATCATGAAGGGCGTCAAGTACACTTTGCTGCACAATGATTGGATCGACCAGACCCGCGTCGGCGCCCTTGGTACGTAGGCCCGGCGCACGCACACGCACAGCGACACACAACGCGCGCGTGCGCACACACACGCCGACCACCCGCGACGATTCAGCACTCGCGTACCGAACTGATGATGATCTTTCCACACAAAACAGGCGCGTCGTACGGCGGTTACATGATCAACTGGATCAACGGCCACACGGACAACTTCTTCAAGTGCCTGGTGTGCCACGACGGCATGTTCAACACCCTGGCCTCCTACTACGCCACCGAGGAGCTCTTCTTCCCCGAGTGGGAGTTCAAGGGTACGCGACCCACCATCATCATCACATGCTCAGCTGCATGAATATATATGTTACGAAATGATGTCGACAATGTTACTTTCCGAATATATATATTGATATATGTGCGCGTGTGTGTAGGGACGCCGTGGAAGAGCCTGGACCTGTACAACAAGTGGAACCCGGCGGCGCACACGGACAAGTGGAGCACGCCCACGCTGGTCATCCACGGCGGGATGGACTTCCGGCTGCCGGTGACCGAGGGCCTGAGCGCCTTCACCGCCCTCCAGCGGCGCAACATCCCCTCCAAGCTCCTTGTCTTCCCCATGGAGAACCACTGGGTCCTCAAGCCCCAGAACAGGTACACTGTGTGTGTTACGACTGTTCCCACTTGTTTCCCCTCACCTCCATCAACCCCCCTCAGCTCACTAACATTTGTCGCGCGTGTGTGTGTGTGTGTGTGTAGTATCATGTGGTATGACAATGTGCTGGAGTGGCTTGACCAGTGGCTCAAGCAGTAAGCACAAGGCCTTGATTGCAATACCTTCAAAAGGAAATGATCTCACATACCCATGTTGCAATGATTTCAAACCAATAAAGTGAAAATGCCGTGGCTGAGCTGTGGCCCGCAACCACAAGTCGTGGAAGCTACGCCACTTTGGTTGCGGCTGCGCCGACGGTCGTGAGCGTGACCGTGCTGTGCAACCAAGCCTCCGAGCTGGGCGTGCACTACTTCGCCTTCTCAGTTGCGCTGGCAGAGGTGCTCCATCGTGTGACCGGCTCGAGAGCATCGCACTGCATGCCACCAACCGGTGAAAACAAAAAACTGCAAAACAACCGTTCTTGACGCTCTGCGCGAGCTTTCACAAATAGCCTCTTAGATATTTAATTTGTATTTGTGAAAGCTGGTTGCTAACAGTTCACAGTTCAGGCGGACGAGGAGGAAGGGTAGACATCAGAAAAGATGCGGGTCTCCAGCTTGGCCTTGACGGCGGGCCACTCGTCGTCGGTGATGGAGAAGTAGGCTGTGTCGCGGTTGATGCCCTTGTTGATCATGTGCTTGCGGAACACGCCCTCAAACGTGAAGCCCAGCCTCGCCGCCGCCGCCTTCGACTTGTCGTTCTTCGTGTCTGCACAGCATCATCTCAGCTCGCTGCGTGTTGCATGTCGTGTGCGTTGCGTGTTGTGTGTCGCATGCTGTACCACACTTCCATTCGACGCGGCGATAGCCGAGGTGCTCAAAGGCGTGCTTGATCGCCAGGTAGCACGCCTCAGTGTTGACGTACGTTCGCTGGTACTTGGGCGTACACCTGAATAACCCAGCGTCAGCAGCGTTTTTCCCCCACAACACCGTGCGCGTGCTGCGTGTTGCCCTCGCGCGTGTGTGTGTCGTGTCGCCAGCTGTACCAGAGTCCGCCGATTTCGATGCGTCGATGGGCAGGCGCGATCGAGAGATAGGTGATGATGCCCACCTTCTCCCCGGTGGCCTTGTTGATGATCGTGAGCCCCACCGTCTCCTCACCCATCAGCGACCTGCCCAGAGGGCGACCAGTTCAACACCATTGCTGACGTCAGCCTGACGTAGTCAGCCATTACCCCCCCCCCAAAGCCCGACACACGTACGTGAGGTACTCGCGGAACTCGGTGGTGTCCTTGAAGGGTCCGCGCGGCGTCAGCTCCCACAGGTCTGCAGGCGGAGTGGGTCAGCGAAGAAAAAGATTGGGAGCGTGGAGGGGCGAAAGTAAGCCAGTACTGACGCCGGGCGGGTGGCCGGCGGCGAAGAGCTCGTCGACGTCCTCGTCGGGCCGCACCGGCCGCAGCATCACCCGCCGGGCCGAGTCCAGGGTAAGGTGCTCCCTCTGCGGCGCGGCACCACCGGTGAGCCCCACCTCCTCCACCACCTTCGCCTGCTCCTGCTTCTGCTGCTCGGCCATCGTCTTTGTCACTACCCTTTATGTTGGAAAGGCTGTGGCTGTTGCGTTTAGGAGCAGGCCGACTTCTTCCGAGTTACTATTTATTGTTCCCTGCAATCTAATCCTTTACAACATCTAGAAGTTGTTATTATTTGTAGACAACTTCTACATTGGAAGTTTAATTTGTCAGTTGTATTCATCTGATTGCATTCCACTTCCACAATCCCACTACAGCTTCCTCCTCCACAGCTTGGACCTCCCAGAGCCAGTGCCATTTCCCTCTTATCCTCACAGCACTCCCTGCCACCTCCTCTAAACCCCACCTACTATCTTTCCCTTGCCCCTGCCCTCTACTCCACCTTCATCTGCCTATCCTCTACTCCCACTCCTTCTGAATCCCACATCTCATCACTTTCCAACTGGCTGCTCACTTTCCTCTCCAAGTTCCTCACCAATGCCAACCTTGACTCCCTCTGCACTGATGTGGAAGCACTCTTCAAATATCCTGGCTTCAACCCTCTGCCACCCAAGAGCACTGCTTCCAGCTCCTCCACTTCCTCCTCTTCATCTTCCTCTTCTGGAAGAAAGCAGTGCAAGTACCTTGGTTAAATGTTGGGCTTTTCCTTTTCAACTCCAATAAATTTCTACTTTTTCCTTTCATACCTCTCTCAACAGCAACCCACTTCATCCTCTAAAAAAACAAAGTTCAAGCAGTTTTGCACCCTGTTTCCTTGCCTTATCCCCATTCTGTACAGATTTCATGATTACTCTTCCTGACACTGTTCATCAGACTGCAAGGGTGTGAGAAAGGAGATTAAACATACAGTTCCCAATGTGCATCAGGAGTTTTATTTGTTGACAGTTCCTGATGTGCATTGGGAGTTTTAATTGTCACCAACTATACCTCTTACATTCCTTGCAAACATTACTAAAACACAGGAATTCCTTGTGTCTGTTATAGCCATTGCTTTTCTGGATTCAGTTTAAAAGCACAGTTTGTGACCATTGTTTCTTATCCTCCATCATGGACAACACATCTATCACAACACCACACCATCTTGAAGAGGACCTGGCATCCTCTATTCTTTACTCTCTCTTTGCACAGTCCCTTCAGCCTGTTCCTCACACCCCAAGGAAACGACTACTGTGCACTGTGGAGCAATGCACTCCAAAGAAGTGCAGGACCCTGGTTGCTCCTGAGAGACTTCAGGCCCTTCAACATTTGCATTGCTGCTTCCCTTTGCCTCTCTCACTTCACCTCTGATAAACTGATGGCCATTTCTGCCCCCTATGCAGAGATGAAGGAGCATGAGAGAACTCAATTCTTGATCAACACAATGTCTGTCACCTGCACTTCCTTGGTACCCTTATGCTGCTTCAAGTTGTGACTCGATGGCTTGCCTGTCTGCCTCACTGCTTTCCAGAAGGTGCAGCACCCTTCCTCCTATTAATTTTTCCCTTTGTTTTTTTTCACAAAATCTGCACTTCCATTTTACTCAAGGATACTGCCAAACCAACCTCATAGGCTCATGGCTTCAGTCGCACCAAGTGGCATTCTGCTCTTCAGGTGTTCATTGCTGGTGGCTGGGTACCTATTCATGACACCTGTGGCCACAGAAAGCCATCTAATGCTACCACCAACACACCTGTGGCTTGCCACATTTTTTGATGTCATTGGTGATCACTTGCCTGATGGAACTATCCACTTACCCATCTCTCTCACATGGTGTGAGGTCCATTCTATGTGTTCCAATGCCCACCCATCTGATGTTCTGATTCTCACCTACTCATCCATGATCACTCACATTCACACACTCTTCCCACATGTCAAGCTTCCCAAACATTCTCACTTGGGCAAGTGCTCTGTGTGCATCAAGTTTGCATAGCAGCGCCTCCAAGCCAAGAGCCCTCTGGAGGCATCCCAGTTTGCACAGGCAAGAGCTCACCATCTCTCCTTGTCCACTGCAGAGAGGCTCAGTTACAAGGAACACTGCCATCATGCAAAGAGCCAGCCCAGCCACTACATGAGCCTGATCATTGATTACTCCAACCCCCTTCCATTGCCCACCCTCACTCATGGCCATCAACCCTCTACCTGCAGGCTGACAACTGCACTGGTGAGAACAAAAATGTCTACATGCTAACATTTCTCTCTCTCCTCATCACCTTGGACGTGTTTCAGGAGATCTACTTGAGCTTCCTTCTTGTTGGACACACTCATGAGGATATTGATCAGCTTTTCTTGACTGTGCAGACAAAATTCAACACTTCCACCATCCACACCCCTGGGTATGCACTGCCTCTTGCTGTTTGTGGACCTCCTTGATGTCTGTTCTTATTTGTCAACAGTTCCCAATGCACATCAGGAGTTTTATTTGTCAACATTTCCTGATGCACATCAGGAACTTTACCTCTCCCACCATTGCTCACATCCCCACCCACCAACAGAAAACTACTGGCTTTTCTGCACCATGCCTACCAAACAACTGCCCCTTCTCCTGAACTTCATCAACTCACAACCGTGTGGGATTGCAAGAGCTGGCTCACCAACCACATGCATGGGCTTACTGGTCACTCTGAACCTCACATTTTTCATTTCTTCTGTGATTCCACAGGAAAGTCAGAAATCAGAGACAAGGCATACCACACACAAGGGGAGTGGTCAGAGCCCTACCAACTCCTCACCTCCATTCCACAAGGTGCACACCATCCTTTCACCTGTGCCACAATGGCTGCACTGAGCTTTTCCTCCACACCAGGCACTCCATACCTCATCCCCCCACAACCCTTTCCACCTGAAGTCATCACTGACTTCACTGACAACTGTGATGCACCTCTCTTCCTTGAGTCTGAACTCAACAAATGGGCAGACATCTTCGAAGCCCATGCAGCCTTGACTGCCTCTTCCCACCCTACCTGTGATTC